AACGTGTGAAATAACTAGGACGGATTACTCGTACGTATTGTTTCCTACGCTGGTTAGCTAAAACGACTTTAATTATTAAAAAGCCTTGCCGTATACACACATACACGTTTAATTCGGATAAGTGGTGTACTTTCTACCCAGTTATGCTGCATCGAGAGACCAGTACTGTACCAGAACTGTGCTAATATATTCACTGCATTCGTAACTGCTTATTGCCGTACCTGTATGATCTCAGATATTACATTAAGGGAAATTACCACGTGGGAAATTACCACGATGGTACGGCAGAGTGACAAGTGAGACGGACCTTATACAGTTACGCAGCTTCTTACTGCTGATATGAACGCACTCCCCATGATTTTTAACTGGCGCTGAACGCTGATGAAGCTTCTAGCAATCAATGATGGCCTGACTCATTCCGCGTCCGATGTAGATTACAATCCACGATACGAAAATAACACGCTGTTTAGCGCACTGCGCTACGTCCTTCTGTTGCATTTTCGCATCTCTGTAAGCAGGATAAGCCCCGCCTTCTTCGTTGATGGACATGAATGGGGCGTCACCGACGTCACCAGTTCCTACTGTGTTTACTTTTCGTAAATAATGAAAGCGTTGCCCGGCCGATGCATTTCGCAATGTTTACATGCCACAGCGCCATCTCTTGGATGTTTTATAAGTAAATATGGGGATTTTCAATAAAATAATGCGTTTTGAATGTATTTACCGCGATTTACGTATAGAAACTAAATGTTATTTTTACTGATTTCTCCGTATTTTTCGTTGGAGTTTTTATCGTCTTTCAATGCCTTTCGGTAGATTTTTCTGCGTTTTCTGAGTGATTATTATTTTGCGCAGGCACTCATTTTGGAAATCATCCAACATTTTTACTTCTTCATTAAGTCCATGTTTCACTGTTATTTAGGAAAGAAGGTAAAACTGTGCATTCGTATAATTTCACTCTTGCTTCTATAGTATGATTTCCATAATTTTGCTCTTCTGCCCATGATAATATTTCCCTCATCATGAACCTACATTTTTCAGTTCTGACTCTTATCATATCGTTATAACCTCCTATATCATTAATTAAATCCCCTAAGTATGAATATTTGGTGATTATTTTTATTACTTGGTTGCCTATTAAAGGCATAATTCGACCATCGATTATGCAAAGTTGACGAATGCTACAGTAACTGGCACCTTGTGTAGTTAATAAGTACATTACCTTATAGCCAAACGCGTATTAGTTTGTCCAATATCACTGCTAATTATTAAGAAATGTCTAATTGAAATCC